GTGCCTATCATAGAGTTTCCATTCTGGTTGGGGAGATAGTGAAGTTTATTAAAAGAAGCAAATTGTATATAGTTTGTAGGAAGGTGATAAAAGCTCCGGAGAAAAGCAGGGAAATGGGAATAAGAGTGCTGAGTTGGATGGTCAGGGCAGGCCTCACTAAAAGGTGACACTTGAGAAAAGACTTGAAGGAGGTGAGGGAGTGAGTCATGCAGCTGTTTGAGGGAAAAGCCTAGGCCCTGAGCTGCAAGCATGCTTGAGGAGCTATGAAGAACCAGTTTGGATGAAGTGAGTAAAGAAGGCAGAGAATAGTAGAAAATGAGACAGGAAGGTAATGGTAGGGGCCAGATGTTGTAGGCTTTGTAGACCTTGGTGAGGACTTTGGCTCTTACTTTGAATGGAGGAGGCATTGATTGGAGGCTTTTGAACAGAGAATGATGTGATCTACCTTGCATCCTAGAAGGATCACTCTTCATTCTGGTCTTGTGAATGGCTATGGAGATAGGGGAGGATGGGAAGCAGGCTAAGTGGTTAGGAGGCTAGTGTAATATAATCCAGGCAAGAGACAGTGGTGTCCTGGATGGTGACTGGGGTGATACCAATGGAGTGGTAAAGTCATCAGATTCTGAATATATTTTGGACATGGAACAAACAGGATTTCTTGACTGGTTGGATGTGGGGGTATAATCAAAAGAAAGCAGTCAAGGATGACTCCAAGGTTTTTGGCCTGAGCAGTTGGAAGAATGGAATTGCCATTAACTGAAATGGAGTGGTAATAGGTGGAAACAAGTTCAGTTTTGAACATGTTGTCTTTTAGTTGGAAATTTTTGAACACACACAAAGGTAGAGAGGTTGGTTGAGTGTACTCCATCACTACTTGGGCAGCTACCATGTCTACTCTTTTTTTTTTTTAGACAGATTATTGCTCTGTTGCCCGGGCTGGAGTGCAATGGCACGATCTTGGCTCACTGCAACTTCCACCTCCCAGGTTCAAGTGATTCATTCTCCTGCCTCAGCCTCCAGAGCAGCTGGGACTACAGGCATCTGCCACTACACTTGGCTAATTTTTGTATTTTTAGTAGAGATGGGGTTTCACCATGTTGACCAGGCTGGTCTTGAACTTCTAACCTCAAGTGATCTGCCTGCCTCGGCCTCCCAAAGTGCTGGGATTACAGGTGTGAGCCACTGTGTTTGGCCCAAGATTTTTTTTTTTTTTTTTTTTTTGTTAAAGACAGGGTTTCACCTATTGGTCAGGCTGGTCTTGAACTCCTGACCTCAGGTGATCCCCTTGCCTCAGCCTCCCAAAGTGCTGGGATTACAGGCATGAGCCACCATGCCCGGTCCAAGATTCTTAATATAAAACACTTCCCTCTACTTTTGGGAGCTACAATTTGATTGAATAAACCAGATCATTTGAGCAGTAGGCTTCCTCACATTAGATTTGGCTGATTATATATTGGGATGTCATTTATTCCATTACAGTATTCTTCATATTTCCTTTAAATTGGTCATTGGCTCTGGATAGATGAAGACATTAGAAACGCTTTTCTTCTTATAAATTCTGTTGCTCAAATCTCCTGTGTCTATTCCCAGGCAATCAGTCATCCACACTCTTGCCTGTCTGGATAAAACTTGTCTAGGCAAATACATTATTTTAAAATCTAGATCGTTTTCCTAAAAGATAAACTAAGGGGAGTTAACCTTAAGTAAGAATTATTTATTTTTTTCAAATAAACAATACTAGTTTGAAATATCATTTTTTAAAAATTATTTAAAAATTCAAAACCACAATCAGGTGAAATATCATTCTTATCTGTTATTTAAACAATTTGTTATAAAAAATTAAACTTTTTTGACTAGCACATAAAGCAATAGTTGGTCATTTTATGTGGAAACAAGAAAACACATCCGTGTCCATGAAAGCATTCAATCTAAAGGATTAGAACAAGGATTATCAACAATTTTACATCTAGCAATTACTGTACAAGGGACTGACAGGAGAGTACTAAGAGAATTTGAAGTGAATGTTTTGTGTAATGCCTGGAATTCAGACAGTATCTGGAAAGTTTGAGGATTTGTGCTTGTGTTTGATTTTGTATGTATGAGCACGTATGTGTTTTAACTTTTTTGGTGGTGGGGAACTTAAAGTTTTCAACCATATAAAAGTAGAGAGAATGGCATAATAAACCCCTAGACCCTGATCCTACAGATTCAGCTGTCATCAGCATTTTGCCCTACTATCATCAACATTTTGGCTGTATGTACTATATTCCTTTTAAAAATTTATTGGCCGGATGTGGTGGACCTCCCATCTCATCATAGCCAGGAACTCAGTTTTTAAGGTTGCTCCAGTGTCCCCTTAGCCAAGAGGGAGGGTCCATTCAGTTGGTTGGGGCATAGATTAGAATTTTTATTTTTCAGTCTCAAAAATGTCATGTTACAGTTTGTTTGAATCAGGACCCAAACAAGAGGCATTCATTGCATTTGTATATATATATATATTCAAGATGGAGTCTTGCTCTGTCACCCAGACTGGAATGTAGTGGCACGATCTTGGCTCACTGCAACTTCTGCTTCCTAGGTTCAAGTGGTACTTTTGCCTCAGACTCCCATGTAGCTGAGGACTGCAGGCATGCATTATCACACCTGGCTAATTTTTGTATTTTTTGGTGGAGATGTGGTTTCACCATGTTGCCCAGGCTGGTCTCGAACTTCTGACCGCAAGTGATCCTTATTGCATTGGGATTACAGGTGTTAGCCACTGTGCCTGGCCAACATTTGAATATATTTCTTCTTCTTTTTTTCTTTGAGATGGAGTCTTGCTCTGTCACCAGGCCTGAGTGCAGTGGTGTGATCTTGGCTCACTGCAGTCTCCACCTCCTGGGTCCAAGCAATTCCCCTGCTTCAGCTTCCCTAGTAGCTGGGACTTCAGTCCGGCACCACCATGCCTGGCTAAGTTTTTGTATTTTAGTAGAGACAGAGTTTCACCATGTTGGCCAGGATGGTCTTGATCTCCTGACCTCGTGATCTCCCTGCCTCAGCCTCCCAAAGTGCTGGGATTACAGGTGTGAGCCGCCGCGCCCAGCCTTGAATATATTTCTCAAATCTCTTATAATCTAAAACATCTCCCCCCATTTTTATACCCCGAAATTGTTGAAAGAAGTCATTGATTCTTACACTGGCCCACATGCTGGATTTGTCTGATTGCTTTCTTGCAGTGTTATTCAGTTGTTTCTCTTTATTTCCCGTAAACTGGAAGTTACAGCCAAAACTTGATTAGATTCACTCAACTTTTATTTATTTTTTTTTTTACAAAAATATACTATACTTCATAAATATTGCTGTACAATTGCATCACATCAGGAAACATGCACAGCTGTCCCATGTTTCATGATCTAAGATTGATTAGTACATATAGGTAATCTTCAGTGTACATCCTTCAGTGCAAAATTCTTCCATAAACATCTAATAGTTTTAGCATCCATCTGCGACTGTTGCCTAAATAAGTTATTTATTGAAATCATTGCTCTGGTCCAGATTGTTTTCATGAGATTAGTTTTAATCTTTGTTCCCTTTATTTCTATTTCTGTAGCCAGTTGCCTAGGAAAGATCCTTTCATCTTTCAGCTTTTTAATTTTTTAAAAATTTTACTTTACTTTTTTTTTTTTTGAGATGGAGTCTTGCTTTGTCACCAGGCTGGAGTGCAATCTCGCCTCACTGCAACCTCCACCTCCTGGGTTCAAGCGATTCTTCTGCCTCAGCCTCCCGAGTAGCTGGGACCACAGGCACGTGCCACCACGCCCGGCTAATTTTTTTTTGTATTTTTAGTAGAGACAGGGGTCCCACCATGGCCAGGATGGTCGTGATCTCTTGACCTCGCGATCCGCCCGCCTCGGCCTCCCAAAGTGCTGGGATTACAGGTGTGAGCCACCGCGCCGAGCTTTTTTTTTTTTTTGGAGATAGAGCCTTGCTCTGTCACCAGGCTGGAGTGCAGTGGCGCGATCTCGGCTCACTACAACCGCCACTTCCAGGGTTCAAGCACCTCCTGCCTCAGCCTCCTGAGTATCTCGGACTACATGTGCGCATCAGCACACCTAGCTCATTTTTGTATTTTTAGTAGAGACGGGGGTCTCGCAGTGTTGGCCAGGATGCTCTCGATTTCTTAACTTTGTGATGCGCCCTCCTCGGCCTCCCAAAGTGTTGGCATTACAGGCGTGTACCACTGCGGCCGACTAGCTTTCTTAGATCTCCAAATCTGTCAGGTCTACGGACATCTGAGACAGGCATGATCTGTCTTGCCTGGGGAGCTAACGAGATAAGGAATTGAGTATTTCCTAACTTTTACACTTGAAGGTCATAAAGCAGGTAAATGGTTTTAATTTTGTCCTGCTGGGTGTGTTGGGGTTAAGGAAGGGTTGGTTAGAGAGGCAGAGTGAAATTGGGCAATCTCCCCTTTCCTGGGGTCAAACTCAAAGGCTTTTCACTAGAAATTCTTCAACAGAGCCTGGGCTCCTTGATTTTGAACTGAGGCAAGGCCAGAGAAAGTCCAGGCCAGGTGTGGGGGCTCCCGTCGTAATCTCAGAGACGGAGGCTGACGCAGGAGGATTACTTGAGGCCATGACTTTACGACCAGTCTGGGCAACATAGTGAGACCCTGCCCTAACAAAAAAATTAAAAAAAAATAGTCGGGCATGGTGGCGTGCAGTAGTCTCAGCTACTCGGAAGGCTGGGGACAGGCGGATAGCTTGAGTCAGGAGTTCGAGTTCGCAGTGAGCTATGATCCCGTCACTGCACTCCAGCCTGGGCGACAGAGCAAGATTCTGTATCCAAAAAAGAAAAGAGTCCATAGGGATTAGGTGGAATCAGAGTAGAAAGGAAGAGTCCCGGATTCTCAGAATGGAGCCTTTCAGAGGTTTAACCCCGAGACTACATCTCCCAAAATTCCGCTCGCCGGATCCCGCCGTACTGAAAAGACTGCGCGTGCGCGAGGCGAGTGACACCCCGCCCCCACAGGCCCCACAACCCCCGAGATTCCCCGCGCTTGGCTCTCGCCGGCTACTTCCAGACCCTCTGTCTGTCCGCTGGGGGCGCGCGCAGTGTGTGGCAGGCGGTACTGGCGCTGGCGGCCGAGTGCGCGGGTCACGCGTGGTAGTGCGTGGTTGCTAGGGGCGCCTGAGGCCGCCTGCTAGCCCAGCAGGCCGAGGGAGGAAGTAGCGTGGAGCGGGTGTCGAGCTGGGGCGAAACTGGATCCCCTAGGTGAGTGCGGCTGCGGAGCGAGGGGAGCCGACCCCAGACCTTCCGCCCGTCCCACACTCCCGACCTCCCTCTACCCGACTCCCTTCGCGCGGGTCCCCAGCCCTCCGGCCGCTCTCGCCCCAGCCCCGCTTCCTCCCGCCACCTCTCGTCTCCGAGCTGGCCGGCGAGCGGCGGCCTCCTACCCCGCCGGGACTTCGCGCCTGCTCGCGCCCTTCTCCCCTACGCCACGCCCTGCGAACTTAGTCGGCCTCGCTGTGCCCGAACCCTACTCCATCCCCTCATCCTGGCCTTCTTGCCTCCTCTGTCCCGCCGCGCTGAGGTTTAAATTCTCTCTGGATGTGAGCCCAATCTCCTCGCAGGCTCCAGGGCCGAATTTAACGTGGATCTACTTTTTTACTTACCCATCCTCAGTATCTGTAGAGGAATACATTCCTAAACTCTACAGATAGAAACAGGATCTGAGATCAGTGGAATTTAATTCTTCGTTCATCTATTCCTTTATTTAATCATTCACTAAACAATTTTTAGTAAACACTGACAAACATTTAATGAGCCTTGCTACAATGGAAGGGATTGAGGGGATAGAGTGGCTAATAGCGCAAGCGTGTTTTCACGGAATTTATAGTCTAGGAGATTTTTAATCAAGTAGATGAGCATTTGCTGTACTGCGGTGTGGTAGAACAGGAGATACTTAATCTGGACTTAGAAAACGACGTTATTCCCATTCCTCCTGGTCTTCACATTCTCATTCTGGATCTAGGAAATGTTTTAATCCTTCCTTGATGGAATTGTCTTTGCTTTCTCAGATACTCCAAATCACCTGTTCCTTAACTTCAGCACCTGTTGATTTAGCCAATCAACAAGCATTTGGGGGGACCCTTTGGGACAGTGTTCCATCCCATCCTTATGTTTCTTGCACTGAATACTGAGATACTGTTTGCATTAAAACCACCCACTTGGTGCTCAGAAAGCAGCTACTTACTGATTGAAATGAATCAATCCTTGAAAAATTATCAAGTGTTTTCTGGGAATGAAGAGGTGGGAGGACATTCTAGACACACAGAAGCTTTAGAAAAAATACAGCAAGTCCTGAAAAGAGAACTGGAAATGGTTTGACAGACCTGAGCTAGTTTTGGAGGGAGCTATCCAGTGACAAATAGAGGGAAGTTAATAAGGGTTAGATGACAGAGGGCCTCGGATGTTTTGCTGAGTTAGAACTATATCCCAGGAGCAGTGGAGTGGTTTCCAAGCTAGAGTAATCAGGGTTTTAGACTTCCAAGGGATACACTTGCAAGTCTAGCTTTAGATGAATACATTTCCAGATCCTCAGCTTCCCAGTGAACTCTTTTTCTAAAACTGCCCTTACAAAAAAAAGGGGATGAGGCTGTATGTGGCAAACCCCTCACACTTTCCAATATGGTGTATTGACCTGAGTGTAAAAATGTCCTAGATACAAACTGAGATATTTATTTTCAGGAACACCTCCTTTAGTGATTTAAGTTACCTTCCAACCCAGAAGGATGCCCAATACACAATCCCATTAGTGTAAAGTGTGTTCCTTGTTAGGATGTTCTGAAAAGAATGTAACAGTTAAATGTAATGGGAATGTCTTTTGGGACAGTGGGGTTTTTAAGTTATTTTGGATAAAACTTGTGTAAAATGTTTTAAAGAAATTTCTTTTAGTGTAGTGTGTGGTATTTGGGAGGCTGAGGCAGGCTGATTGATCGCTTGAGCCCAGAAATTTGAGACCAGCCTGGGCAATGTGGTGAAACCTCTTCTGTACAAAATAAATAAATACACACACACACACACACACACACACACACCCCAAACATGGTGGCGTGCTCTTGTAGTCCCAGCTATTTGTAGGCTGAGGTGGGAGGATGCATTGAATCCAGGAGGTCATTCAGGCTGGAGTGCCGTGGTATGATCATAGCTCATTGTAAACTCCAACTCCTGGGCTCAAGCAATCCTCCCACCTTACCTTCCTGAGTAGCTGGAACTATAGGCATGTGCCACCCACCTGGCTAATTTTTTAGAATTTTTAGTAGTAATGGGGTCTTGCTCAGGCTGGTCTCAAATTTCTGGGCAGTGATCCTCCTGCCTCAGCTTCCCAAAGTGGAGGGTTTTTTTTTTCTTTTTTTGAGATGGAGTCTTGCTCCATCACCCAGGCTGGAGTGCAGTGGTACGATCTCGGCTCACTGCAACCTCTGCCTCCTGGGTTCAAGCAATTCCCCTGTCTCATCCTCCTGTGTAGCTAGGACACAGGCACCTGCCAACACGCCTGGCCTAATTTTTGTATTTTTAGTACAGACGGGGTTTTACCTAGTTGGTCAGCTGCTGAGTATTGTCTGCAGGTGCAACACACTGTACCTAAACATTGAAACATAGAAAAGGTTACTGAGAAAATATGGAATTACAATCTTATGGGACATTGTCTTCTATGGGCACTATCTGTTGACCGAAACACTATGTGAGGCATGACTGGAAAATACTGGTTCACTGAGTTATGCAGATCTCCATGTCACAGTTTATTATATAGGGTCAAAAACATCATATTATCACCACAGTCTCTTCAGAGAAGTAGTTAAGTATTAGGAAGCAGTCAAACTCCTGATGGCAGTTACCATTTTGCCAAAGTTCTAATTTTTTTGGGAAGCTCAAATTTTATCATTGGCAACAAGTACAGTCAGTTGTTTTCCTTGAAGTGACAGGCTTACTTTGTTTCATTTTCCGGAACCTTTGCCAAATACCAAAGTCTGAATAACTATCACTTGTCATTCATTCTTTCAAGTAAACATGGTGTTCCACAGAAAAATCCTGCAATTCAAACAGTCACAGAGTGCTTTATCAACACGTTCTGTATACAGCATAAATGTCTTATATGTACTTCACATTTTATCACACAGAATATTAAAGAGCATACTCGAGGATTGAGATTTAATATAATTTACACTGGGTCATCAGGTAAACCTGGCCTGTATTCTTTCACTATGTGGTGGAAAAGTGTAGTGGTGAAGAATGTAACTTGGTGCCATTGTCTTGATTCATGCTAAGTCACCAGCAGTTTTACTCATTATTGCTTTTGCACTATCAGTGGAAAGGTCAGCACAGTAAAAAGGCAAATAACATCTTAGGTTTTTTCTTTTTCTTTCTTTTTTTTTCAAAGACAGGCTGGAGTGCAGTGGCATGATCATGGCATACTGCAGTCTCGACCTCCCATGCTCAGGTGATCCTTTTATCATAGGCATGCACCACCACATCTAGCTGATTTTTTTGTATTTTTTTTTTTTTGTAGAGGCAGGGTTTCACCACGCTGCCCATGCTGGTCGTGAACTCCTGAGCCCAAGCAATTTGCCTACCTTGGCCTCCCAAAGTCCTGAGATTACAGGTGTGAGTCACTACACCCGGCTATCTCTTAGTTTTGTTATGAAAGTAGTTTTTACCTAACAAGACCCCTGAAAGGGTTTTAGGATCCCCTCAGGGTCTGCAGACCATGCTTTGAGGACTGCTGCTCTAGAGCCCAGCTGAGAGGGAGGAAAGAGATTCCTTCCTGAAGCTGATAAAGGGCAAGGCTTTGAGTCATCCAGTTACATAAAGTCTTCCACTGATTTCACTTTTCAGTAGTTTGTAGATTTACCTTCCTCAGCTCTTGTGTCTTCCTCGGGTTTGCTCACTTGTTTGGCATTCCTAAACCGTGCTCTGCAAGAGCTACCTGTGACTTCACTAATCTTATACAGACCCACCCTTCTCACTAGGCTGTGTTCTTGACCTTCCTCTCTTAGGGCTTTAAGAGGTGTATTGTTCCTTCAGCTTTCCTTAGGGACAGAGAGCTTGGGATTTATCTCATAAGAGAAAATGGATCTGATTCCTACACTTCCCCTCTTTCTATTTGGTTCCAGGTAAGTCAGTTCTGTCTTCTAACATAACTGTTGGGGATTGAGGGAAATCTCATCAGAGTTCTTGTGGTCTATAGACTGAACCATTTCTGATGTCCTGAGTTCCCCCAGTGACCTAGGGAAACAACTCGTTGAAGGAGGAAAGGGAAACTGCATTTCCCAAGAGCCACACTCTCTTACAGTATAGGAGAGTGATTTAATCAGTGGGTCATGAATAATTGCTTTCTCTAGAAATAGATACCTTGTTCAAGTTGGTCTGGGCCTGGTCCCTGGAGACTTGTTGGTTTGCGACAACAGCAATAGATGTTCTAAAATAGGCTACCAATCATTCACAATCCTTTAAGGAGGAAACTTGAGGGAAAATTACCCCGTAAAGATTGGAGGACAGGACTGCATAGGCAGTTTCTGAATGCTACATGAAGATAACAGTGTAGGATGTTCATATTCCTGAAACTGGGTATTTGAGAAGGGGAGAGTCTGGAGCCACGGCCATCAGTCAGGATGCTGCCTTAGTAGTCCTGTGCTTAGTGTTGGAGCGGTTAGAGACTGGGCCAAGGCAGCCGTGCAAATGGAAAGGGATGTTTGAGGCCATTTTGTTAATCTCTGCAACTCTCTGCAGTTCTTTATTCTTGACTCCTATCCCTTTATTCAAGTTCTTTTTTTTTTTTTTTTTAAAGATGGGGTTTCACCATATTGGTCAGGCTGGTCTTGAACTCCCAACCTCAGGTGATCTGCCTGCCTTGGCCTCCAAAGTGCTTGGATTACAGGCGTGAGCCACCACACCCAGCCTCAAGTTTTATTTTTAACAGTTTTGTGGAGGTATAATTCACGTTGAACATATCCATTGTTTCCAAGTCAATTGTTTTGAAAACTTTGGAAGCCTTAGTGTTCAATGAAGTTGGGGGAGGAGATGGGCAGTATTGCTGATAGGAGGCCAAAGTGGACCAGGGTTCTTCTCACCCCCTTCTACCAGAGTGGCTGTGCATTTGAGGTTATAGATATCCAGAGATTTCCTACCAAAGCCATCATGAAGCTTACAGGGCATATCCATGCAGTAAATGAACAGTGGTGCAAGATAGCCTTGGCAAAGTATCACGTGAG